AGGTACACTTTTTGGGGAGGGCGGGGACTTTATACACATCATAGTCTCCTTTAACCAATCACCATACACCCGCGGGAAAATCAAACAATAATTCTTAGACTTGATTAGTACATTTATTGGCGGGAACAGGCTGGGCGGGGGTGATTGGTCACTCCTAAGTGGGGTATACATTCAAACTGATTGGTTTTGGGCCTTGAATGCCTACGTGCTGGGCTACACAGGGTCCTAAGTTATTAAACAACCAGAGGATCTGAGGAATACTTACTGGGCAGTTCGGGTATTGCCCTAACAGCTACAGGAATTTAACCCAGGCTTTGTAGTTTAGAAGCAGGTTTACAATGCCTGGTCCTTTACATTTTAACTCAGGCTTTGCAGCTTAGAAACTTTAGCCTTTCACTGGCACTGTTAAACCACAACACAAGAAAAAGAACAGACTCCAATTTTGAATCAAACTTAATCAAAATTTTATTTATGTACCCAGGAGCTGGCCATGTCTGTCTGTCCTCAAACCCCAGGCTAAAGATACTCCAGCTCTCTCAGAACAATTTGTTTTAAATCAAACAACAACTCTTTTTTTAGAGAGAGGGAGAGAGAGACAGAGAGAATTTTTAATATTTATTTTTCATTTTCGGAAGACACAACATTTTTGTTTCTATGTGGTGCTGAGCATCTTACCCGTGCCTCAGGCATGCCAGGCGAGCAAGCTACTGTGTGAGCCACATCCCCAGCCCTCCGAACACATTTTTATAACACAAAAGTTTGCAAAGAGGGGTGTCTTGAGAACTTACAGATACCAGGATTTGGACAAGCATAATACAAAGGCACGTAGTAGGTTAATGAACTACATGGCTTAACATTTCAAGGTAGGGAATAAATTCAGATCCCAACATTAGAATGTATGAGGTACCACTGAGGTTTCAGAGAGGGTTGTTATCTGGTCAGGGGGAGCCAAGTATGGGTGACTTCAAGGCATGGGCAAGCATTCCAAGCAAGTTGAAAGATTGCAGTAATTTATACTAAAACAAAAATTAGTTTTCATGAGTTTTGGATGCGATGGATCCCAATCTTAAGAAGGAATTAGGCTGGTTTTCAGAGTTATATTCTCAAATCCACTATATTTATGTGTAAAGGTAAAATTTCTAAGCTGATTCTAAGCTGCAAAAGTTTGAGTTAAAGTGTAAAAGACTGGGCTAAAAAAAGTAAAGACTAGGTATTGTTACAATTCCTCTGCTACCCCCGGAACCTGTAATCTCTGTAGCTGTTAGGACAATACCTGAACTGCCCAGTAAATATCTCCATTGATTCCCTGGTTGTTAAATAGCTAAGGGCTCCAGGTAACATGTAATGTAAGCTCCAAAACCAATCAGTTTAAATGTGTACCCTGCTTAGGAATGACTAATCACCCCTGCCCAGATTGTTCCCGCCAATGTATGTACTAATCCTGACTCAGGGTTGTTGTTCAATTTTCCCGCGCCTCATGATGATTTGTTCTGATATATGCAAAGCCCCCCCCCTCTCCAAAAAGTGTACTTAAGCTCCACTTGAACTCTGCTCTGGGCTCTGGGCTGCTCTCCCATCTTGAGTGAGCACGGATCCCCAGCGCGCTGGAATGGATCCCCAATAAATATCCCCTTTTGCCAATTGCATGGAGCCAGTCTCTTGTGTGGTCTCTTTCTCAGATGCTCCACCAGACCCTTACATATGCTCCCACCCACTTCTTTGTACCACAATAAAAAAAGGGCTGGGGATGGAGATCAGGGATTCTGTACCCCTGCCATGGATTTAATGCCCAGCATGGGAGGAGGAGAACCTAGAGTTGAGTTCTCAGCCCTAGACCGGTATGTGGCCACTATTCCATACTTGAGGGAATATGACTGTTAATGTATAAGCGCCGCTCCCCATGGTCATTGGGAATCTTGGTAGGTAGACTGAATTTGGGCCATTGCACAAGATGTGAAAGCCTTCACCAATTCAAACTAAGAGTAAAAATAAGGTTGTACTCACTTTCTGGGAAGGGGCAGATACTGAAGCCAGAAATAGACAGGCAGTCAGTACAGACAGGTAAATGGAGTCAGGTCTGATCTAGGAGGCCAATGTTGAGAGAGTCTGGCAAGTTGCAGACTGTCCCCTGAGGGATAGAAATGTTAATCCCTTCAGAGCCCTTGCTCCACCCTCATCAAGGACCTGCCCTAGCTCCTTCCTGTTGCTAAGGTAGCCTCTCCCAGGAATTGCCCCTCCCTACAGGCAGCTTTTAGGGTGTCAATGTGTCCTTGACTGCTGCACCCTGCCCTTCCCCCTTCAGCCTCCCATGTTTGTCACCTTTGTGCCATCTCACCAAGCATTCCTGGGCCTAGTCACCAAGGCAGGAAGGACAAGGATAAAGGGAAAGGCATGGAGATCACAGGAAGCCTAGGACTCATAGAAAGGTTGAACACCTTGCTTCTGGGAATACCAGGATACCAGCTATGGTCCCCCTCTCCCTCCTGGGGAGAAGTCTATGTTACTTCTTTTAAAATAAACCCTGCTTTGTGTGCTTGCCTGGGCTTGCTTCTCTAATGTTCAAATTTCAACATGTGAGAGGGCAGAACTCCTCCCCCATAACCAGTGGTATCAACGCCATAGGCCATATGTGCCCCAAGTGGGGTTTCATATGCAGGCTTTATGGGCAGAGCTGAGCAGGGGTATTGTTTCTTTCTGGTTTAACTATCAGTTGAAACCCAGGAAGCTGAGAGCCCTGGGTCAGCAGCTAGGGATATGGTGCTTACCAGGCAGGAGCAGGTGGGCTCCAGGCTTTTCTTGAAAATGTTGGTGGCTCTGAACCGCTGACATGGAAGGAACGCAAGGGAGGGGACCCTTCCTGAGATCAATTCAGGTCAGCCTGGGCAATGGGGTTATTTTGCTGCAGCTGGACCAAGGCAGGGTGAAGTGTGTCAAGGGGTCAGGTGACCATGAGTTCACAGACATTTTATGACACACACAGATGCCTGAAGCCACAAAGGACACCAAACCTACATACACTGTGCCCTGTACACACATGCCTATGACTGATTGCCCTTTCTATAAAACCTGAGAGTCCTAGACAGCTCTGAAAAGAGGGCTAAGGACATGGTGCCCTTGTCTTCCTGGTGTAGCTTCACTGATCAAAGTTCCTTTCCTGCTTTTCATCATGACCTTTTCTGTTTGGATTTGGGGTAAACAGATGACCTGATGTTTGGGGTCACCAGAGTCAGATGGCTTCCAACAACTCCCTAATAGTGGAATGTAGAACATGGACATTAAGCACAAGGTGCTGATTTTATTTCAACCCCGCATTGCTGCCTTAGGGAATTGCCTCCCACACCTCCTTCTTCTCCATCCTGCTAGGGAAGAGAACACTGAGCCAAATCAACAACACAGACTGTTTTTTTTTTCCTAGCTCTAATTCCTCAAAAGATAAGTAGTCCGGAGGTGATGAAAATTACTAAAATAATTGTCAAACTCTATTTATTTTCACATATCAAATATGTATGGGCTGGGGATGTGGCTAAAGGGGTAGCGTGCTTGCCTTGCATACATGCGGCCCGGGTTTGATCCTTAGCACCACATACCAACAAAGATGTTGTGTCCACCAAGAACTAAAAAATATATATTAAAAATTCTCTCTCTCTCTCCCTCCTCTCTCACTCTCTCTTTAAAAACAATGTATGATACATATGATATTTTTAAATATTGTTTCAAAAATTTTGAGTGTGTCTCTTGCTAAGTTGCCTGAGGTCACACCAGCTGATACTATATATGTATATAGGTATCTTTTTCTTTGAGGTTCTGTTGAATACTCCCTGTGGGGCTCGACCTCTGAGCTAGATCATGAACCCTTTTAATTTATTTTAAGGTAGGCTCTCCCTGTTTGTGAAGCCAGATTGAAATATTGTAGTGTGTGTAGCTAGGTAAGTGGGGTCTAATATCAGGCCCAATAAAAAAATGCAATCTGATCTGATCCTGGGAAACCAAAAAAACACCTGAGAAGTGAAGTGTTCATGTTGTCATGACCTTGGGCAAGTCCTCAATAAGGGTTAATGATGTAGCTCCCAGTAAAACAGGGAGATGCTCTTCAAACCACCCAGGGCTGTTCCTGCCCAGGTTTCTCCTCCCTGCCCCACCAGTCCACTGGTCTCCCACCCTTTGTCCTTCCCACCCATATCCCCTACCATGTGCACAATAAAGGAAAACAAAGGACAGGAATGTTGGAGGCAAAAGACGACCTTAGGTTTAAGAGGGAGAAGACCTCCCCCTTCCAGGGATTCTGCCTTTTGGGTCCCCTTCTTCCTGGGGTGGGGGGAGTCTTTTGTGCTTTCTCTTATTAAAGCCTTCCACTTTCCACTCTCCACCTGCTTCTCTGGTGTTATACTGCAGGATTTGGGACAGCAAGGACTCTTATGGTAAACAGCATTAACATTTGTGGATTTTCACCTGACCTTGGGCTCCTCCTGCCTTAGACTCCTTAAGTAACTAATTTTTGTATTTTTTTAAAATTGTTATTTGCTTCTGTGGTGAGGTTAAAACCCAAGGCATCACCCGTGCTGGGAAAGCACTCTCCCTCAGCCAGAGCTCAATCCCAGATGTTACCATTTGTACCAAGTTCAAGCAAAGGCTTCCCACCTGGATTAGTTCCCAGCCCAGGAAAGAAGCTCCACCTGAAAAGGGCTGGGGCCAAGGATCTGCCACTCTAGGCAATTTTGGTTAGTGATTGGTTAACCTTAGCTGTCAATCACAATGCAGAGGCCTGAGTGGAGGCGCCCCATTAGGGATGCTGGGGTAGAACTGTCCAATCAGATCCAGACCAGAGGGGAAGGGCGGGCTTTGGAAATCTCGCGGGCTTTTCTTCCTCACCAACTCTGCTCCTCCCTTTCCGGGCCCCACGAGCTCTGCCAACAGGCCTAGGGGATTCTGAGCAGCATGTGCTTCCCTCTATCTCTGGTGCCTTGAGGTCCTCGAGAAAACCCCCTGTCCTCTAGAAAGACAAAAATGGTGAGTATGTCACGAGGGCTGAAGGGACATGGTCAGCACCTGCCTTGGGGCCCCCGCAAAGGGGTGAGCTTCAGAGCCTGGCGGAGTCACCTCTGGAGGTTGCCCTGGGTTACTGTCCCCTGGTCCTGGGGGTTGGGCTGGATGGTAGAATCTTGAAGTCACCTCGCTGGCGGCTGACCCTAAGCCTCTTCCACTGGTCCCGCAGAGTGAGCTGGGTGTTGGGTGTCCAACGTTGGTGCAGAGGGTGCAGCCTAGTCCTCCATGGCGGATGGCCCTGGACTTCTGCTCTCTGGCCCCTAGGATTGGGCTGGGTATCCTGTCCCTGAGGTCAGCTGCAGAGCATGAGGCCCAGTTCCCACTGGCAGATGGCCCTGGGTCCTATCCCTTGGCTTCCATTGTTGAATGGGCAGCTGTTGTTCCCAGCTTCCCCTCCCCTCCCTGCTGGTGGCCCGCCCCCACTCTTCAAAATGTGTAGGAAGCAGGATGGCAAATCCACTTTCCTTCCCCCAGTTTAGTGCCTCCAAAAGCTGCTGTAGGTCTTTTTTTTTTTTTAAGAGAGAGAATTTTTTTTTTAATATTTATTTTTTAGTTCTCGGCGGACACAACATCTTTGTTTGTATGTGGTGCTGAGGATCAAACCCAGGCCGCACGCATGCCAGGCAAGGAGCTACCACTTGAGCCACATCCCCAGCCTAGTCCTCCAACTTGTGATTCTCTTGCCTCAGCCTCCTGAGTCCCTGGAATTACAGGCCTGTGCCACTGTCTCTGGCAAGAATAACACTTTTGTTTTCTGTTTCTGAATATCATACTTGAGGGAAAAAAATAGTCAATTGACACATACTGTGTTCCGATAACATAGCTACTTTAAATGAAATAAGGCAGTGGGTTATTGGTACTAGGGATATTGAATCTTGGTTTACATCCACAGCCCTTTTTTCTTTGTTGTTTGTTTGTTTGTTTGTTTGTTTTTGGCAGAAGTTATTTATTTATTTTGTTATTTAATAAATAAACAACAAAATTTATTGTGAGCTCATTAAAAGTATTTTAGTGTTTCACATTTGAACATATACTAAATGGATTTTGTCTACAGAATTGAGGATGTAGTGCATTTGGCCACCTGGATTCCAGTTTGCCTGGACCATCATGTGATCCATATCCAAGACATCTGCTGTCCAAAGCTTTTTCTTGATCTCTTGCTCACCTCTGCTGATACTGTGCTGCTCAGGATGTGACATGTTTTAAGTTCTTGAGTATGGTTAGGTGTCAGTGGCAGGGGCACCTTCTGGTAGGTGATATTTTTGACTGCTCCATCACAGTGCAGACATCTAGTATTATTATGGTTGAACATGCAGTGACCTGTTTTCCTCTCAAATTATGTTAGATAGGTGAAGATTCTGGGTTGCAACCTTGCTTCTTTACCACCCTGGAAATGCTTCTGTCTTAGGTTTGCACCACCATCATTACAGGCAGGAGGAAACTCTTTCACAACAGACATCCAGTGCACATGTGGCCCACTCTTGATCAAAGTGTCTTGAGCAGAACATGGCTATGGGCCACATAGTAGTGAAGTGACTGCTTTTTACTAGAGTTTTATAGATGATGTACATTCATTGTTGCTATGAGATTTAGAAATTAGTGTCTGTTGTTCATTAATAAAATTGTGTTGAGGCTTATAAATCTTTGCAAGGTTTTTGTTTGGATAAGGTGACATTTTTGGGTCATTGACTTATATCTAAGTCATGTTCCAACTTTTCATCTTAATACATTCTGCGTTGACAGTAATCATGAGAAATCATCAAATTTTTTGTGTTTATTAATCATGGTGCTTGTTTACTATTTGACTATTTGTTTTTCTGGAGAATAGCATGTGTAAACATATAGTTAGTTGTTCTGTTGGGGTAATCACAAAAGATGATCTATATCCCCAGTTCACAAATTGTGACAACCTGAGTGAAAAGTTGTCTAAATGTAGTCTGTCGGGGAAGCTTCTTAGTGATCCATTTTTTGAAGTTGAGGGTGGGGTGTTCTTGACATCTCTTTAAAGATGGAACAATAGACTTTGAGAAGGAATCAAGAGATCAGTCAATGCCATGTTGTTTATATTAACTTTGTAGGCACAGTGAGCCACTGTGGTTGGCAGAATC